TCGGACTAGGAGGTATCGAGACGAGCACACGCACACGACGGGAACCATATCGGCAAATGGGAACTGCCTTCAGTCTGCAATCGTTCGCAAAAGACCATATCGGCCACACAGCTAGCCTGTCCTTGTCCAACACGCCTGGGTCAGATCGTCCGCGATCACTCAAGGAAACCCCCCCCAGCCGGATCCGTACCTATCACGAAGCAGAGATGGTCCGGGGCCATTGGTGGCTGGAGATTCGCTTGCAAGAAGAAGGCGCCAAGGCAGCATCCCGCTGACCGTTGACGCAAGCTCAAGATCAGAGTGTTTTTCCCGGCAGCGAAGTCGGTAATACTTTCGTCCGGCGCCTTGTGTGGCGACACGCCATGGCGTTGGCTCAATAGAGCAGTTCCGCTCCGCTTGAAGTTCCATCCCATCGGCCTCAACGGCACTTGTGAGATCCCCAAAGCTTAAGCCGGAGAGTTTGCGGGGAAGAGAGGTGGGTGGTATTCCGAGTCTCACGAAGCAAATCACCGAGATGGAACACCTGGGAGACCAGAATCTACAAACTAGACCCCAAGGGAGATACACTCGCAAGGCAGTCACTTTTCCGGCCGAGAACCACATTTGACTGAGTTTCTGGGCAACCAACGGATGTCAATCGCGCTCGAGGCGCCCCTCTCTCCTCTGCCAAGAATAATAACCCCCCCCCCCCTTGTGGACAACCCCTGACATCTGTTCAGAACCTCACAAGCATTTCCCCGAGTCGATCCTCGATCGGAGCCAGCATGATCACGCAATGGTTCTCGCAAGGTCTACTCTGAAGGTCTACGCCATATATCCATTCCGCGGCCCTAGGTGTCTTCTGCGGCTTCTAGGAAAGTAAACATTGCAGTTGCTGTCTCCTCGGGTTGGCAATGTCGATGTTGGTTCAGTAACATTCCAGCAGAATGCTGCGTTCCCTTCTCCACCAGCCATTAGAAGGCTGCAGTTCGAGTCGCAGTGCGTCCGAGCCGGGAGCCGAGCTCACTGCCGGCCGCGCTGACACAACTTGTGTTTTGAATCCGCCTGTGCCCTGCAGGCGCTGCCGCTGCCGCTGCCGCGAGCAAACAACGGGAAACTCCCCGCCAACAGATCGTGAGCGGGGAGTAAAAACCTTTCCCGCAACGATTTTTCGGAGACGATGATAACCTCATGACTAAGTTTGGCGATCAAACGGCGTCCATCTCCTTTGCCGTCAACCTATCATGTCGATTCGTCCCATCTTCATTCTCACCCACCTTCGTCCGAACTACTTTCGCCTCCCTCGAGATTGATGCATGAAAAGAAAGCTGTCAAACTATTTCCTTCCTGTTTCAAGGACTCGACCTCGACCAGTCTTCTATCTGTGGGGTTCCTCGCCGCATAGTGAACACGCGGGACACTACTAGGATGACCGTTGTTCAGTTTCTCAGACGTTGCTTCTAGAAGCCTACCGTTCTCGTAGCGGTGTTGGGTCACGTCGTTGTTGCCCAAGCGTTCAACACGAAATATCGTGGCTACTAGCATCCTGCCGTTATGACCCCGACCGTTCCTGCAGATTCGCGGTTCGTCTGGGGAAATGCAGAACAAAGTTTGGGCCCAGAAACGTTGCTTGTCCTCGGCCCATTTTACCCGAGGACTGCACATACCTGACAACGGCCGGCGGCGAAAGACTCTCTGCCCGTCCCCCCTGCGCCTGCGCATTTGTTTGGAGTCTATTAACAGGAGACCATATTCAGGCTTCTTGTGCGCTTTCCAGTTTTTGGTGGCCGTTGCCCGCCTTCTCCAGCCGCTTGACAGTTTGCCCTCGCCTCCTTAGGCAGACCTCAAGCACATCTGACTTATGGTTCCCCTATCTGGTTAGGGACGAGCGGCTGCTAAATCAACTGAGGCTTCCGGACAATAGTCGACAACCCACACACGACATGCCCAGACCGCATCCGTGTTTTGGATCTGGTCTGCCGATCCAATCGTAGCCACAGTGATGCCACTATCCCGTGAGTTTGGGTCACAGGGTGCTAAGAGGGAGAACCCCTTCGACCGTGGCGCGTTGTAGACCGGACGACATTCCATCTGTCCAATGCCTCCCGTCCCTGCCACCTTCGAGAAGAGTCCGCATAGAGAGCTGCGTCAGGCAACGGCACTTTTCATCTGATCTGGTCTCGAAAGGAGGGCGATCCTGTTCCGCCCTGTGGCAGCGTCACACTGGTATGATGATCTCTCGCAGCCCGCATTCTTTCTCTCCGCATTGTCGTTATTTTCCCCGTTACTCTTGATCTACCCTGGCTCCCCTCGGAGGGCGATGCTGTAACGACGGGACGGACGACAAGGCGGCAGGCAACAGGTGCCAATCCGCCGCGTCCACCTTTCTAGTTCATACGGGTTGAGTGGGAAATGGACGTATGAACGGCGGCCGGATGCATCCTCACGTTGCCTTACCACGCGGATGTGGATGCAGCTCGGGTCCCGAGCAATGCAAATGCCAGATCTCTCCGTCCGATCCGATCGGATGTGCGTCGACAAGACGCCGGCATCTGGGCATCAACAGGGACAGGCCTAGTTACTGAAAGCCGAGAAAGAAACCGTGGCCCGCACTGAACGGGCGAGACCGGAGGGCACAGTCTGGGGAGGTGGTGCTTGGGGATCTCTCGGCTTCCGTGATCGAGCTTCGAGAAGGTTGCCTTTGTGGGATGCAACCTGCGGCAGCCCAAGTCATTTTCTCGAGTAGGTCTCACGGGTCTCGTCCTGCCGCCTTCTCAGGGGGTGAGTGGATGTCAGCTGACTCCGTGTCTCAGGAACTCACCCGCCGCCACACAGCGTGGCGTGCTCTCCCGTGTCGAATCCCGTCGCCTTCACGTTTGAGGCTTTAGCCTCTACCCATTCTCTGACATCGGCTGAGGCTAGGATCATGGGACGGCAGGGGAGACGAAGAGGGTCGTCTATGTTTGCGCGGCTTCGGAAGCCTGAGACATTCGGCTCAACCTTTTTGCCACCATCGATTGCCAAAGCCCTTGGTGTTGTTGAACCGACATGGCTGCATGTTGTACTTGTTGTCAGCCTTGCAGGCTGAATGGAGTCTGACCTCGCCGCGCGGGTCTGCCCTCAAGGCCAGACAGCCGCGGCCGTAGCCTTGCTTCGTTGGCGGCAGGAACGGCATTTGGCTAAAGCTTCCGTTGCGAGCCGTGGTGGATGAAGGCCGCGGCTGTCTTGTGTAGATTAGGATGGAGTTTTCTGGTGGTCTCGGGAGAAGAGGGCGAGTGATACGGCTGCTGTAGTTGGGCTCTCAGGATGAGATATAAGAACCGACATCCTTCCATTGCCTCCATTGATGTGAGAGAAAAGTTCGTTTGCCAGAAATGTAGACGCCAATCACGACCACAGATGTTAACGCATGAACAATCCTTGGACCAGAAAAGTAAAAGTTAGGAGAGATGCCGGACACGACCCAGTCAAGAAGGGATACGGGACCACAGAAAACGAGAGGATATAACCTGCACGCCCCGAGCTTTTAAGGTTACGAGGTAACGAACCGCTATCGATTCCATGGAATTCCACCCTCTCAGCTGGTAGACCCTGAGTTAGGGGACCGACTTGAACACCAAAAAGGCCCCGCTGTCGTTCTGCTCCAAGGAGCGGCCGCCATGGTTACGCCCCCGAGCATCACCAGCGAGGGTCACAGCTCCTCATATTAAACTGTTATCAAGGGCGGAAGGACGGGAACAGGAGCTGAGACTCGGGCTAGGTTCAGCAGATGCGGCATTCGTTCCCGACAAAACACAACAAACGGAGGGGGAAAGATGAAATGAGCCTGAGGATGAAGGGGCATAACATGTCAAGGCCGATATCGAGAAACCCGCACGGCGGCCCCCGCACCGCCCTCCGAGGCACGGCCATATATGGCTAACGACTCCTTATTAATCCGGCTCTTCTTGGCAGCCGGCAAGTTATCCCTGAATGGGCCTGGGAGGTTCTGTCTGTTCGTTGAGCAGATTTGGCATGATGATTGGCATACTGTGGTTTGCCATCAAAGGAAATGGGGTCAGGGGGAGTTGGATGTCAATGGCGGGATGGGTTCGAGGACATGGCGGGAGCAAGGGCTTCAAGGCTACCGTTTATTCAGCCTCCCTCGACAACTAAGAATGCGCTTTTGTCAGGGGTTGTTGAGAGTAGTGCGGGTTGTTTTGTTATGATCCTATCTCGTCGGGATTCTCAGCTCTTGGTTTCGTCCTGCGGAAGGAGATGAGAGTTCGAGCCAACCTGAAGGGGGGATTTGCAACTTCATGTATGATGACACGAAAATAGGAGGGCTTAAAGCGAGTGGGGATACACCTACGAACTCAGAGGAATGTAATAGCTGTGGCCAACCCAGAACATCGAAGCTATCAAATTGTTGCAGTAAAGGTGACTTATTGAACCTTCCGTGTTACAGGAGCAGGTAAGAAAGAGGTTCAGGGCAGTGTAAAGGTGGATCAAGAGGGTTACCAAAATATATAAGAAATATACGGATCTATCTAAGGTCTGGAAAGCTTCGTTTGCTGTATGTATGACGGTTGTTGCGCCTCATTTCTGGTGTTCGTGAAAACTGTAGTGGTTCGAGTGAAAGTGGAGTTGGATCGGCTCGTATGCCGACGTGACCCTCTCCTGGTGAAGACATCAAAGCGGAAACAGAAAGAGGAACGAGAGAAGAAACAGGGGTAGGGAGCAGCACGACAAGAAAGAGGAAGTGGAGAAAGAAAAGGAAGAGAAACCAGGCATCAGTAGTAACCATCCTCGGGAAATTCCGGACCCGCCAAGGCCAGCTCGTCGAAGATGACCCCTTGCTCAAGTATGGGCAAGTCGTGAATCCCAAGAGACGTAGCGACAAATCTGCGGAAGGGCTCCATCTTCTGGGTGTCCACCTTGTACCGCCAGATGGGGAAGCCCCGATCCGCATCCGTTTGGATCTTCAGGCGCCAGATATCGGCGCAGGTTTGGTTCAGAAAAAGGCGGAGCAAGTCCTCAGAGTCTAAGGCGTCCAGGATGTTGGCGCCGGCAAGGGCCCTTCCCAAGAGTGACTGTCCGGCGTGCATGTTTTGTTGTTGCATGGCAGCGGCCATGATCATGCAGACTACCGTGCACAGGAGTTGAGGGGGCCGAATACCGAGCTGCTTTTCGGTGGTGGTCGCCCAGTCTGGGGAGGGTGTGGCGCGGCTGCGTGTCACGACTCTGTTGGAAAGCAGGTTGCTACCTGATAGGGGACGCCAGAGGACACATAGAACGGTGAAGGTTTCCATGGAAATGTCGCCGTCGGCACCGCGAACCTCGGGAGGGACCTGGGGGTTGCCGCCCAAGACGGCGCTGCACCATCTTATGCACGATGGAAGGCAGTCGATGTCAAGGTCTAGGGCAGCCTGGATCTGCTTTAGCCCACGGATGGCTGATAGATGCTGGACGATAAACTGGTTTAGAAGGTGAGGTGCATCAAGAGGCGTGTCGGGATTTGCCCAGTTATACCACTCTAGGGCAGAGCGGAAGAGGGTATACGCTGGAATGTCCAGGTTTATGTTCCGTCGAGTCAATTCGACGAGGTTGAACTGCACGCCGTCATGGACGGTCGTTTCCTCGAGGATGCCTTTGAAGATTCTCGAAATCTGTCCCAGCCCCTTTTCCATGTCAGAGCCCCAGTCATATGTGTGGGCATTGAGAAGGTCCATAAAAGTCGGGACCCAGGACTGAGATCGCGCGTGTCCGAGGGTTGGCTCGGCATCATGCCTTGCCATCTCCCGTGCCTTCGTGAGCTGTATTGTATATTGAGCCGTACCGATGCAGGCAAGCGTGTGTTTGCTTGAAGGCGCGTCCTTCCACCGCGCTTCATGGATGTCGAATGCGTGGCGCGAGTCTCTTAAGCCAACTAACATGTCCGCTAGCCAGAGATCCCGAGTCTTGACGTCTGCCCAGTTCGCTTCGGAGTAAGAGAATTGCACTGCGGCGAGGTCCGGCGCGGCCCAGCGTAGCTGGAGGCTGCGCCATGGGGGGAGGGACATCCAGCAGGACTCGGCCAGCTACAACCGGTGGTGGGCACGGGTTCCGAGACGCGGCGTCTCCGGCAGAAGCAGCGCCATTGGTAGGTACAGTACCACAGCGAGAACCACCCCCGCAGAGAGCCTGTGCCTCCAAAAGCGACGTTTCGGGAGAGTTACCCCGTTTGTACTTCTTGAAGCCCCAGGTAACCCGGATGCGGTGGCCTAATTGTCGCCGGCTATAAGGCGAGTTAGATGATGGCATGGTGCCAATGTCTGTTTGATGGGCTTACTTTGCAGCGAAGTTGTGTTCCCGTTTCATGTAACGCTCGAGTTCGGCGAATGTCATTGTCTGGCATTTGTCAAGTAGTACCGACTTGTAGCTCTCCCATTTTTTCTCGGGGATCCTGGACGCATTTGTCCGGTGAGGGCGAAAGTTATCAGCCATTGTGTCCGCGGTCGGGGAGGTTGCGAAACACACAGACACACATACACATGCCCGCACACATGGTATTCCTTATATCTTGAGTTCCGCACATGGTATGTGTTGGCATCGAATGGGGACTTTTGGAGGCCCGAATGCCTCGACATAGGGCGCGGACCGAGAAAGACGCCCGCGTGGGAGCCCACGGCCGTTGTTTTCCAAATCTGGCATGTGTATTTTTGACCGCCAAGACGATTGTGCATGTTGGAAGGGCCAATTCAGCGAAAATCAAGTGAGTCGATGGCGATCGAGATCAAAAGTGCATGTTGGGGTGGACAATTCATACCACAAAGGTCAGCGCCGCCGCTCATCTCGAGCAAAAAGACCCTGCTCAGGCATGATCCACAAAACCGCAGCTTAAGAGCGGTGGACAAGCTGTCGATGCTGCCATTGGCGATGACTGCGGCGACTGCGGCGAGCGGCTGAATTTTGGTTTTTTTTTTTTTTTTTTTTGGCCTCGATATTCGCACAGCCTCGAGATTTGCTGAGGGCCAATATGAGTAAATCGTCTTCAAGGCGCATTGTTCCTTGGGCAGCAGTCAGGCGAGAAAACATTGCAAAAGAACCTCGCCAGCTCGGCGACAGCTCACGAACAGCAGGTGGCCACGGTTTCGGATACGGAGGCGGTGTAGGTAAATGAGTTGGATGGTGGACGCCTTGCGTGCCCGTGAAGAACAAAAGGACGGCGGGCTGTGACCGGGTTTGAGTTAGCGAGGTGTGAGAGAGCGGGAGCGAATTGAGACAATTCACCGTCGCCTGCATTGGGCCGCATTGCAATCCGTGATGCCGATTGTTGCCTCCTTTTCAGTGCAGCACATACACCGGTCTCGGTTTGTAAAATATGAGGCAGGGAGGTGTTGGGTTCGGCGTGGCCTCGGGGCGCCACGGAGAGGGGGTTACAATGGATGAGAGGACCGCCTCGACGATGGGGTGGGAGGGTTAGAGAGCAAACTCGGAATTCCAACCGCCTGGCTTGCTTGGCAAACAGGAAGGAAAGAGAACAACAGCCTGAATCTCGAGGGTCCGCGGACCAAATTAGATGTGATGGGAAATAAGGCGTGCAGCAGTAATTCGGCAGGTGACCACCAATGGAAAGAGCACAGGCTTTGACAAGCCACCTCAGCCACCAATTCTCCGATCGATCTTACTTGGCTGCTTGGTAACTTGATAATCTCTTGGATGCCCTCTCGCAGCTCAAGCACTACAGGATGCATGGTCGCTTCGAGCTCGACCGAGCAATGCCGGAGAAGCTCGTCATGAAGCCGAAGCACAGGACTAACGCGTGGAGGCAGGCAAGCGGGGTCATGACGTCAGACTTTAGCCAATCACAATGCCCTCTCATGGGGCTTTCATTCGCGAGGCTTTCCCCGCATTTGCTCCTCGAAACGCCCACTCCATCCATTCACCGAATCCAACGAAGCTACCTAATTAGTCTCCTAGTTGATGTTTCCAGTTTCCGGTAAAGGCTAGCATTGGCGAGGGCTCGAACCTCACGTACCTTTATGTTAAGATGAAGCCGAGCAGGGACGGGTGTATGGGAACAGCTGGGAGTAAAGTGCGTTGTTCGTGAGGTGCGCCGGACATGTCCAAAGAAGAAGAGCAGTGACGCAGTGCCATCCTCAACTGTCCAACTCCCGGTTTGCTGCGGCAGACCGTGGGAGGAGCCAAAACACGCGCGGCAAGGTTAAGCCAATCAAGCCAATCGGTTGGACGAGATCAATGCCTCTCTTCCTGGTCTTTCGTTGGAATCAATGTCAGGATGCAGGTCAACCTTAAAACCTGCATGCCACCCCCGCCACCAAGAAAGTACGGCCATACTTGGTATTGTGCAGGACGCGTACCCTGCCGGCGTCCTTGTCCGTCCCATCTGTTGCCCATGTGCCCATCCATCTGCTGCCCCTACATAAAACGCCATCCCCGCGTTCCTTCGCCCTGACCGCAACCACTGCAGGTATTCCGAGCAAGGAATCGTAGCGAACCAACCCGAAAAAAAATGGATCGCTTTCATCAAAGTAGGTTCCCAGTACAACAGATCACCCAAGCGGCCATGCTAAGCACCATCTCAGTCAACCCCTTCGCCAAGCGGGACTCGCACAGCGCGAGCTCGGTCGTCTGGTACAAGATCCTGACGCTGGCCAGTTGGTTGTTGTCGGTCATCGTGACTGTCTACTACACCCTGGAGCCGCCGAGCGATGGCAAGCACCATCGCGGGACCATCTGGCACCAGAACCATGACCACCACTCCGGGTTCACCCTCAACCCGATCATTACGTCCATCTACTGGTCCGTCTCCGTCTCCCTACCTTTGCTTCTCACTACACTGAACTGACCGGGTTTAAACAGGATCGTCCTTTTCGTTCTCCAGCTCGGCTACATTTCGCACCTGTTTTCGACCAAGACCGAGTCGGTCAACGCAGCGTGCGCTGTGGGAAGCCGTACGTCCTCCCAACCAACCATAGCTGGGAAGAGAGCAAGAGGGAGAGAAGGAGAAACACACAGAAAGAAACACAACCTAACTGACCTTGCCCATCGCAGATTTCATCCTTAACAACCTACTACACTTCGGTTTCGTGATGTTGTTCGTGCGGTCGCACTTTGTCTGGGCCGAGGTGCTGCTGCTGATCAACTTTGCGAACCTGACGTCGCTGTACTTCCGGCACAACGCCTACGCACGTTTCATCCACCTGCCGGCCGTGTCGGGCCCGCTGGCCTGGACCTTTGTGGCCGTGTACTGGAACGGCGCCATCATGGTCCCGCACCAGAACAGCCTCGTCGCCCGCATCTTTGCCAACATCTTTGTGTGGTCCATCCTGGCCTACGGCGGCTTCTTTATTGTGTTGTACAAGGTGTGTCCCCTCGCCCTCCAATTCGGATGCACCCAGACAGACAGAGTGACTGACCACCCGCCTCCAACAGGACTACACGATGGGGTTCGCGCTCAGCGTGCTGTCGGCGTCGCTCGGGGTCGCCCAGTTTCTTCCGGGCAGGTCGTGGCGCTGCAGTGGATCTTTGCCTTCACCAATCATGGCGGTGCTGTTTGTGCTGACCATCATCGTCGCCGTGCCCCGCTTGGACCGGCAGGCAGGTGCCGTGGGGTGGCAGCGCCGAGCGCAGGGAGCCCGATGCCGAGCGCGCGCCGCTGCTGGCCGAGTAGATGTCTGCCCGCTCTCGGGAGGGGGTGGGGCTTCGTTGATGATGGATGGAAAAGGGGGGCGGGAGTTGGGTCGAGTGGGTGCTGCGGGCGGTGTCGACGCTGGGAAAAGGGGGATGGGAGCTCGTGATTAATCTTGCTTGGGACGTTGGTCGACGGTTTATCTGGCGCGATTTGTTTTATCGAGATATCGGAAACCAGGTTGTAGGTAATTCGGTGGTAATAATCTCCCCTTTATCTTTGTAGTGACTAGAACGGTGTTTTGCAAGCTTTTGTGATGGAGGTTTAATGTCTGATACTGTTGATCTCTGGCATTCCATTTCATGCCCAGTCGATGGCCGGTGGTTGCAGAGTGGGCCCCAAAGGATTGAAGCCCCGCGGTAACTTTGGCAGCGCCCTTGTTTAATTCCAGTTCAACGCATCACACTGCACCCCGACTACAACTGCCTCCACCGAATCACTGCGACCGACTGCATTGGACTGAGTGCAATTGGCCGGCCGTATCGAACCACGCGCGTCGAACCAGAATCAAACGCGGCCTCTGCCAAACTTACGGCGGGGTCCGCGCATTCTCGAGCCCCCAAAACGCACCCCTTGCACTTTTCACGCCCCTAACCCTCTGTATATTCCTTCAACCAAACATCACCACCACCACCACCCTCAAAACCCCAACCCCCCCATCTCACCCACACAACCCACACA